CCCATCCCACCCCAAGGGAGGACATCCATCACACAGTAATCTCTTGCATGGGAAATTAACATCTCCTACCCCTAACCCTGCAGAAAACGGGGCCTACAGTTTATTTGTCCTTATCCGAGAAGACTAGAATATATATCCATTTCTTTATATTATAGAAAGGTAGCAAATTCTCCTCAGTTATTTTAAGACCATGAGTATTGGTCCGGACTGGGCTCAAACCCTCGACCTCCCACACAACACAATAACATCTATGAAAACAGAGATATTTCATTGCAAACTTGAAACATTGAGTTTTTAATTACAAATACTTTTCCTTGGCAGATTCCTGTTCCTCGAGAGATTGTGGGTTTTGTTATTGGAAAGAGCGGTGAAACCATCAAAAGAATACAAGCTGAAACCAGAGCAAAAGTTCAATTCAATATGAGTATGTTATGTCATCCATTCTTCATGATTTGAATTGAATTAAATTCCAGAAGCTTGGAAAAGACCTGTATCAGGATCTCTGATAGGTTTATTTCAACTAAGGAATAGCTTGTGGTAGCAAATTTGATTCAGTTGTATCGAGTGAAAGTGTTCAATTATTGTCTTTGTTTTGATACCCACATACTATTTATGAAAGTGGACATAAGTCATTTTGAACATGAGGGAAAAAATGGGGACAAAAATCCATGATTGAAAACAACCATGTGCTCTGAGATATTCCTAAAAGTATGCTTATGTCTTTTTACATGTAGTTTAGGTACAGGTTTATTCTGATTGTTTGCACTTGCTTTTTGTATTGTTGATCGACTTAATAATATTTGTGATTACAGAGGACAACTCTAATGCTCCTGAACGAATGGCAACTGTCCAAGGAACACCAGAGCAGGTGCAAAAAGTCCAGGCCATGATTCAAGAAATAATGGAACAGGTGAGTAATATTGAAGCTATTTCCAAGGAAATGTTTAACAACTGCAATAATGTCAGTGGGTGAAAATGTGATTCGGCTGAAAGAGTAGATGCAAAGTTGACTTTTACATTTAACAGGCACTGATAAGTTAGGAAAGTCCTTGGATTGGTCAATTGAAGGCTGATCTTTGCTGTTAACTCTCCTTGACACCAAGGTTTTGTCCCAAGGGAGGTGACCATGTATAAGACATGGTCCTCACAGATGAGTTCCAATTAAAAAATATCAGAAACTTCTCAGATCTGGATCCCACCAAATCAAACTATGATACATGTATATTCCATTTAGTCGTGTCAGTGGGTATGAAAATACGTGTGTGGTATTTTAGGAATTTTTTTATTTTCAACAAGCTGTTTTGATCTGATTTACAGTCTCGACAGCGAGGAGGTCCCCCCCCCAGAGGTCCCCCAGCCAATATGCCTGGAGTAACCTCAGTTGAATACCCAGTACCAGGAAATAAATGTGGCCTGATAATTGGAAAAGGTATGATGATAATCTAATTAAAGGAGTGACAGATCATGTACAGTGTATAATGTATTTGTTGAGTGTTGGTTTGAAAAGTAATGTTTCTGTTGACAGCAAGTTGGTAAGTTGAGTAATATTGTTAAGCTTGGAGCCTGTTGGCCTTAGTTTTGGTTACAGAAATATCTGTCACTAACAATTGTCCCATTCAAGACTTCTGTCCTGTGGATGATTACACTGCAGCAGCATAGAAAGGGACACTGTACTGTTCATTTTGGTCATCACTTTGTGTATTTTGTTGTACTTAAATTTTTTTGGTGGAAGAAAAGTTTTGATGAAAAATATTTGAAAAAAATTCACTTATAACATAACACACAGTAGAGAAAAAGATCATAAAGAAATCAAATATTCTAATGCAGCAGTTCTCATGTGTATGGGAATTTGTAGTGTATGTAGATGTTGTAGGTCAATTTGTTAGTTAGGTAAATTTGTTTCAAACTAGGTTAATTTGAACTCAACCTAGGTCAGTTGCTGATTTTTGGCTTTGTTGAGATGTCTGGAACCTGAGGCAAATAATTGTTTTAGTGTAACTTCAGGTTCCAGACATCTCAACACAGCCAAACAAAAACAAAAAACCAGACAGACAGATATCAGCAACTGACCTAGGTTGAGATCAAATTAACCTAGTTTGAAACAAATTTACCTAAAGAACAAATTGACCTACAACATAGACATGTTTTTGCGTGGTAACTGTCTCTTGCTTACACAAAAGCTGTTCTTATACTGTCTGTCTGGCATGTAGTTATGGTCTTATGTTGGCCATATTCATACCTTTTACTGCATGAGTAAAGACTGAGTGAAGTTATACAGTCAAACCTCCCTTTGCATTCACCTCATGTTAGTGACCTCTTTTTCATGTTTCCTTCCCATGAATTGCTCCAGAGGCTTTATTAAATAATTTGTGATACAAAGCAATCACCATAGGTCTCAAGATATTTTTCCTTGAATGACCCACCGAAAGTTTCGATAATGCTGGGAAAGGGTCCAGTCACCATATGCAAATTCCCTAAAAATGTGGACCCCCTGTGGCCTGACCTCTGGTAAGCTACCTTCCTTTGACCAACCACTTGGAATTGACACTTCCAGTGGTTACTTGCAAGAGGTCTGACTGGATTGATAACAATGACAATATTTGGAGACCACAGCCAGCAAAGAATTTTCAACTGATTTCTTCTCTGTATTCCTTGTAGGAGGAGAAACCATCCGAGGGATTATAAACATGTCTGGTGCACATGTAGAATTAAACAGAACTATTCCTGAAAGCTCTCCAACAAAGAGCTTTATAATTCGAGGTACTGAGGCAATTTTATGTTGATCTTGTATGTTCCAAACGTGTTTAATGCTCCCATTAGTCAGTGATGGTATCCGCCTGAAGCGTTAGTGCACATATAGTGGTTCACTGTAGGAGTTACTTGGATAGATGAAGAAAACTTCTAATCACAATAGCTTATTTGTTCATTAGGTACCGAGCAGCAGATACAACATGCCCAACAGATGATCAGGGATAAGATAGAAAGTGAAAGGGGAGGGGGAGGAAACTACAATCAAGGACAAAACTGGAACCAGCCTGGCTGGAACCAACAACAACAGCAGCCACATCAGCAGCAACAGCAAGGCTGGTCACAGTATGGTCAGTATGGTCAACAGCAGCAGTATGGACAGCAGCCTCAACAACAACCAGGACAGCAATATGGACAACAACAACAACAACAGCAGTATGGTCAGCAACCACCACAGCAACAAGTAAGTAGCTGGTCTATGTACAAACCTCAAAAAACCAACAACATAGGAAAAATTTCTGGATTATGGTGCCAGTACAACAAGCCAGTCTGAAATGAGAGAACCAAGCTGTTAAAAAATATGTTATTTTCTGGGCTGGAGGTTGTGTATGGGAAAAAAACCTACCCAAGGTCTTTCTGCTTGATTGCTTTTTGTCACTAGTGTTGCAAAATAAAAAAAAAATTTTTGCTAGATTAGGGAATCAGATTTGAGGATTTAAGATTCCATTTTGCTCTTGAGAAAATAATAATGGCAAGTATTTTTGGCTTTGGGCGAAAAAGACACTTTTTCTCATTCTCAAAATAATTGTGGTGTTCATGGATTCCTGAACATGGTAATCTAAGTCATGTAACTGATGAAAAAATTCCTAAAAAGAACCAAAGAAAAGGTCATTCTGTACTTAGCAACTGTTTGTTTTGCAGGGCCAACAGCAAGGCCAGCAACCTGGTCAGGGTAAGGAACAGTTTTCTTGATTTTCAGAGGCACAGAATTATGGGATGCATATGCACGTTAGACAGCCTTCACTCAAAGTAGTTTTGGAAACATTTACATGTCTGTGATGTTGTTGATCCATTACAATAGTATTATAATAATGATCAGTGAAGAACAAACATATTATTTTAAAATTACGAATAGAAGGAAACCATCTTAGGAGTTTCAAGCTGTGTTAGAGAGTCATCTGTGTGTGGAGTTTTTGGTGTTAAGTTTTGTTAGATTTCCAAATGACTATTGTTGAGGAATCATTTTGCATTTGGGCTATAGCAGCCATGTAAATATGTGGAGTACACTATTGCTTTTATTTACACACATGAATAATGTTATGTTTACTTGTTACAGGTCAAGGCCAGGCAGATTATTCTGCAGCTTGGGCAGCATACTATCAACAACTCTACCAGCAACAGGCAGTAATGGCTGCCGGACAGGCACCAGGTATGAGATTGATGGAAACTTTTCACAGAGAAGCAAACATCAAAAGGAGCTTAATACTGTCTGCTTACATAAATTTCCATTCCTTTGAACAACCAGAGCTAGTTAATTAGCCAAGTTTGTCAGGCTTGGAAGTCACCTTTAATTCCTTTTGCAATCCCTGCAGGTCAACCAGCAGGGCAGGGGGGGCAGCCTGATTACACACAAGCATGGGCAGAGTTCTACAGACAGCAGGGTTACTACTACCCCTACCAACAAGCTGGACAGCCTCAACAACCAGGAGTACCTGGACAACAGCCACAACAGCAGCAGCAACAACAACCACCACAACAAGGACCTGCTGGTGGACAGCCAGGGGGACCTCCACCAGGGCCCCCTGGGGGACAACAGGGCCAGTAATAGGACCATAAGTTGTAAAGGTAAGTTTTTATTTATGTAGAAAGGGGAAGGAGAAAGGGGTGTTTGACTTGGGATTGATGAGTGTAGATGGGGTAGGTATAAAGCTGTATTTGTACTTATGAAAAGTTTTCTGTTCTCTTGATATCAGCTGATTTTTTGTTTGCTTTTTTTTGTCCATTTGCTCTCTGTTTTTATTTTAAATGAATTGCTCTATCATGAGTTTGTACTTTTCTCCTTGGAAAACAATTTTCCAAGGATAAGTTATTCAATTGAACTACTATTGTCTGTTTTTCAACCTTTATTCCAGCAATGTGCATGTCTTTTGACTTTAAAAATGCATGATCATGTTCTTTGCTTGAACTGTAATAAGGTAGCGATTTGAAAACTCGATCTTTCAACCAGTGTTGTCATTTACTAATGATGATTATGAGATTAAAGTTATGTAGTAAACCACTAAAATGTAACCAGAAGGACAAGGCTAGAGTCAGAGAATTGCATTCAGGTCAGCTGGTGAAATGATGCACATTCTGTCATGATTGAGTTTGATCTTAAAATTATATGATAATTTTTAAGGGAGTGGCTGTTATTTATTTTCAATATCTCCTTTGTTCTTTCAATTATATTGGGAATTGTGTACTTTTATTAGGTCTGAAATGGTGCATACATGTGTCAATGTGAATTGTGGTGCTTGCTTTATCAAGTCTCTCTGGCAAATTTTAAAGTTGATTTTGGATTGATAGTAAATTCTATGCTCAATGGTAGTATTTTTATCGTACATTTCTTTCTAGGAAGAGAAGTAGAGGTGTCTTCAGGAAAGCTGTTTCTGCTAGGAAGATTTCTTTTTTACAAAGGATTTTGGTGTTCTACCCTTAACATCGATTTCCTATCGGCCTATGTAATATGTTTCCTATCGGCCTATGTAATAGTTATTTTGATTTTTAGTTTGAATTGCATTTGTAGTCCGCTATCATTTATGCTATGAGTTTGTAAACTTATATGAATTTACAGGATAGGACACGAAGTAATCCAAATGGGCGTGGCATTAAAGGACACATTTTATTTGTTGTGTGCATTTGTTTTAATTCTACCATTGCTGTTTTTGACTTCACTGAAATAAATCTGCAGGTCCAGTGTTGGATGAAGCTTTTGCTATCGTAGTTGTACAGGGCTGTGCTTGATTTATAGGGTCAAATATAGAATGGTATCTAATATTATTATTAGTAGGATTTTTCAAAGAAAAGCTGTCACATATGAAGGTTTTCTCTGCTTTGACTCTTGTCGTCATTGCTTTTAAAGTCATTGAAATTTTTAACTTATGCACAGTTGCCAGTGCCTGCTCTTTAGATGTATGCTTGTATTCAAACCTGTTATATATTTTGTGATTGTTGATACTAAAATCATGATAAGCTTTGTCAAGTTACAGTGTATTTGATTCATTGTTTGCATGTGGTATATGTTTCTCTTGACATTTCACAGAAGCAGATTTCAGACAGTCTTTATCATGTCTTTCGTAGTCTCAGTTGACCTCAGGTTGGCTATCTATTAACCCCTCCTCGTCTTTCCACGTACTGTTTTTACTCAAATTAAAACAGAATACAAAACAAAACCTCTTTTTATAAGTTGTATTCATGTATTGTTGATTCTTAAATTGCATTGCTCTTCTATAACTGCTTAAATTTTTGCCGTCACAAATTGATCTGCTATGGTCATCTTGGTGGGGCCACCAGGGACTGGTGTTGTCACAATACAAAACAGAAGATGGCCTGTGTCTCCTTAAAGTAGGAGCTATTTTTGATGTGGTCAGGAAAATCAACAGCTAATCATTATCATGGTTATTTGTTAGTACTATCTATTTTTGAAGCTTTCGTGAAGGATTGATAAACATGTTACGTCACAACGACTTAGTCTTTTAAGGTTTGTCATGCGCTTGTATGGTTTGGTTGAATAACCATGTTGCTTTTCAGACTGAAACCAGTAGGCTAGGGAGAAAAGTTGTACATTTGTAGTGAAGCCAGTGGAAACGGTAGAGTTCATAGCTGGCTCTGAAAGTTTCTTACTCAGTTTAAAGTTATACCTTTAGTTTTTTTCTGGTGTTTTTCATTGTTGTTTGTAGTTACTTGGATCATTGTATCTCAGTTGCATGAATTGTTGTTTGGTTCAACAACGTTGTTTTTCAGAGGCAGAGAAAATGTACACACCAACAGTAAGCTTGTTGTTGAAAGTGATTCTTTCATTGCAGAATTTTATTTAATCTTGAAAAGAATGTTATTGTGTCCTCTGGTTTGCCATGTCTTTGTTCTGTTGATTGTAGAACTCTCTTTTGATATCAGCATCATTTCCTGTTTTACTATTAGACCTTTTTGACAGTCATTCAACTATCTTTTTCTTGTTTGAGTTGTTAGCTGTTTTCCCAAACGTTGTGTTTTCTTGAGTGAATAGTGTTATTTTCCAGACCTGCTCAAGCATTGGCAAAGAGTATTCCTCTCCAAGCTGAGTAAGCTGTTGCTGTTTTTGTCAATCTCAGTTATATTCTTATTGCAATTTACCACTACTGGCGAGTGGTGGGCTGTGCATGCCTTCGTATACAGTCTTTCTTAATTGGTTTTGGTTGCCCTTCCATGTTGGTACATTGTGAATTGCTAGAGTAATTCTTACCAAAATGTTAACTTTGCCGTCCACTGAATGCTTGATAGTAGTTATAAGGCTGTTATTCCTGATTTTGCTTCACTTTAACATCGTGCGATGTGCTGTTTGATCAGTTACTTAAATCGATTTGTAGTTTGAATTTGACATCTTGAACTCCATAAAGTTTGGTTCAGTTGTTGCATAAATCTTGCATTCACTGAGTAAATGGTGTTGGCAAGAGCATATTCTCTCCAACAGTAAGCTTTGAAAGGTTGATGACGTGCCCAACATCTCTTGCTATGGGAAGGAATCAAAGGATCTGGTTTGACGTAACAGTGCGTTGTACAATTAAATTCAGTTGGTGTTACCGCCTTTATTTTGCTAATTGCTATATTTTTGCGATGATTGTTTAGTCATTTTGAATGATGTTTTTTACTATAGAAACTTCAAATTTTTTGCAGTTATGTTCATTTGTAACGTATAGTTATTAAGGATGCCATTTTAATTGTATAAGCTTTACCTTTCTGTAGCACTGGTTCATTTTTAAATTACGCACACACGAGTTGACTAATATTGCTATTTTGCAGAATGAGCTCGAGCTCTTCGACGCCTTGAGTAAGCTTTGAGCGATAGTTTATATTTATGATTATCTTTTACCGATAAAATTCATCCGATGTTTCTCGTCTTACTGATATCTTATTTCGTCGCCCCTGTTTCTACATTTAGCTTTATGATGGTGCATTTTTTTGTGGTTTCATCCATGATTCTCATTACTAAAATGTTTACAGTTTCCCAGCCTGCTCTGCAGGCGTAATTTGGGCGAGCCGGGTGCTCAGTATTTTGTTTTAGCGAAAAATGGCTGCCATCTTTGATTTTAATGGCAGCGAAAGGCTGGGGAGAGAAAGGAATTTGTACCAAAGGGGCGAGTGACGGTCAAAAATAAAGTGGGGCCGGGGTGGGTCCCTCCCCCGCCCCTAACCCCCACCGTCCACTTAGACTCTAACATTGCGTTCGTATAAATGATCACGAGCTTATAACGTTTACTTGCCCTGATAAGAAGCCTGCACTGCAGGCTAAAAGTTTCCCTTGAAGTTTTCCTCATGTACTTCAGTAGTATACCAAGACTACTACGGCATTCCCGCTATACTACTTACTTCTATTAACCTGTGTGAGTTATTACGTCAATTAACTTACAGAAAATTCTCTATCTGGCAAGATTTCATGCTCATTTTGTATCTTGTATTCTTATCAAGAAAAAGGTGTTGAGTCAACGTGTGTTGTGTGGTTTTGGATTTTTGGCTCTATGATCTGCCATTCTTGCAGCATTTGACTGATCTGTTTTACTCATTATTGTGAATGAATAGTGTTCTTTTACAGACTAATTTAGCATCGGCAAGAGCCTGCTTCTTCAACAGTAAGCCTCTAGATAACGTTTTGTTTATCTCTTGATTTATAAATTATACTCCATTTACTTAACGGCAGGAATTGATATTTAATTGGTATTTTAGTGTAGTATTTGTTGGAGAAAGGAAGAAGATTGTCTTCTATTGTTACTAATATCGCCAAACAAATAAAGGATTGGTGTAAAAGCGAGGGTAGAGTCACTGTTCTCAGGGGGGAAAAACCATTCGGCAAATCAGTGGGACTAGCAAGGAGCACGTTTCGGACAGCAGTAAGGTACTGGATCGTTAGGAGAGAAGAATCATTTTGAGGAACAAGTTACTCTCATTTTTATGTCTTCGTGATTTGTTTCTTAAAAGTTGATAGTTTACACTGTTTACAGAGTTAGCAGGAAAAGGGTCCAGTGCTATGGGCTTGGCTGCGTGTGCAGTCCATCCTGGTCAGAGGTGCGCTTAAGTATTTCGTAATGGTTGACTAGAAACGTTTAATCACGTTTGATATTTTTGGCGTTTCTGGGTCTATTTCTTCGTTTTATTTCTCTATGTTAACGTTTTTACTTTTGTTGCGCTTTCGATTTTAAATTTGGTTAGTATTATCATTTCCTATTTGAGCCTGTTACGTTCAGGTAGTAACACGAAGTGCTATAGTAACCTACACTTTTGTAGCGGAGGAGTGGAAAACAATGGTGACTGGGTCGGGTCGCGTAATGAACCCGACCCGACCCGACCCAAGCCATTGCGTCGTTTGCAATTGCGCTCCGGTTTGCTAACTGAACGTTTAAAAAAAAAAACTGATAACTTTTTACAACTAAATTCTGGATAATAAAATGAACAAATGTTTTGAAGCGCGGCAGTCCTCTCGGCAAGCATCGTTATTTTTTAAACTAAGTAAATCCCTAGTCTTCGTCTCGACGTAGGTTAGCAGTGATTGATAGTTGATGAGAAGTAGGGTACAGTCAATGTCATGCTTCATTTTAATAGAGATGCGTTATTGACCAGGCGTGAGGTCAAGATGGCTGGATATCTGCAAAAAACGCGAGAGAGAAAAAAAAAAGAACAATGCCAATATCCAGCTATCTTGACCGAACGAGCTTGGTCAATAAAGGATTTATTGTACAGCAAAAAATGTTCGATATAATTAGAATCGAGAATAACTTGTCTATTTCGAGAGCCGGAAAAGAAATCGAACTGTGTATCATTTTGTAGCGCCGCTCAGTGTTTTCTTTGTCCCCTCTTTTGCGACTCCGTCGCCGTCTTTGTCCTAAAAAAGGCGAACATTGTAAGTCTCCGCGCAATCTTTTTCTCACACGGGATTGCTCGCTTTGATCCCGCGCAAGAAAAAAACAGTCGTTGAAGCGGACGAAAAAAGTCCGTGACTATTATACAAAGGCGGCGATGAGGTTGCAAAAAGCGGCAGAAGACAGTCCAAACAAAAACATTAACGACACTTGTGGGTATACAGTGCCACACACGTGACTTTCTTTTGAACAAATCTTTCTTGGTTCTCCTTGAAACGAAATCTTTTTCTACATAATAAATCCTTTATTGATCAAGCTGGTTTGGTTAAGATAGCTGTGTATTTGCCTCGTTCACCTTTTAGTTTTTATGGACTTCGACTTGGTCTCGGTCCAAAAAAACTTAGCCAATATCCAGCCATCTTGACCTCACGCTTAGTAAATAACCCAGATGTATAACATCTATTTGATTCTCTGTGAACCGTTTGACAATGCGCACATTGTTTCTGTTTTGTGGAACGTAAACCTTTCGCGGTGCAAGGTGTCAACGTTACTTAGGTTGTTTATACTGTGGTTTTTGGGTTGTATGGGGCAAATAATAAAATGTGTGCAACTCTTCTTTTATTCCTGTTTATTTTTGTGTCGTGTATTTGTCCCTTGTTACACTTAGTGAAGATTAGCGCACGTTGGTAGAATACGCACACAGAACGACTCAAAATCGTCGTCTTAAGGTGAAGTGGGGCTTTCTTGCGGGGCCTTCTTAGAATACGAAGCGCGAGCGGGAAAAATGGAAGTGTGCTCGAAGAGAGCTTGGGAAGAGCCAGAGGGGGTTGGTATTAGGAATCGTCGTTCCCAGCATACGGTTGATGTTGGGTTTGAGCAAGACTGATACCGTCGAAAGATTCTTGCAACTGAATCCTATCCGAAAGGTAACAATCACGTCGTTATCGATCCAGTATGGGTGAGTTCTCGATGAGACAAACAAATGCCTTTGTGCTTCTAACTTAAATATGTAAGAAACTGACATTATTAAAAAAGCTCGTTCGCAAATAAAGCTGGTCAAAGTACCGTACAGTGTCAAGAAATGCTGTGTTTTGACAAAGCTAGAAAACAGACTTAAAATGACTTCTAAGATGAGAAGTCGTCATTTACACAGCTTAACAAACTTAAATTTAGTTATCGAAATGCCATTGGTTACGGTGCCTAGGTGCCCATCATGGGAGCTCTTTCAAGACTAAATTGAGCGGTTTGCGCCAGAGAAAGAAAAAAAAGAAATTTAAACCACTGAAGCGAGAAGATACGTTGAACGGGAAACCATCGAAACGAAGCCTCCCTTTAAGACGGAAGAATCTCTAGTTAGTGGTAAAAGGCTATATATATATTTTTAAAAACTTCATCAGGCGTGGATGAGAATGAGGTGGAATAAGTTTGTGTGAGTCAGTTCTGCCTGTGATTGGCAGAGGAATCTCAGGACGGGAAATAAGCGCCTACATGTAAATGGAGATATGAGACAGCTTGCATTCTCTTCACATAACCACGTTAACTGTTATTAAAATTCCATGTGTGACTCCCCTGATGACCTCAAGAGTTGATTGATATCAGCGAACTTATACAAGTGACATTTCTCTTTAAAAATTCGCTCTCCATGCATTTTACGGTAGACTTTAAAATTGATACTTGTACTCAAACTGAGCAACATTTTTCGGTGCTCCTATCCGTACTGCATTCGCGTCATGAACCACTTGAAGAGGCTGTTTCAAACTAAGACTGCTCTTTTCTTGGTTGACTCCCTGAGAGCCATTTACTTAACGAGCCCATTACTGACTGTTCCTCTTCCTTGAAATGTGCCACTATGCCTTTCTGTTGATTTGAGCGAAGATAAACTGTGTAAGAGTAAGTAGGCAAGCTAACTGTATGTACTTAGTAAAATCACATGCACAAGATTTGACGCGGAGAGGGGGTGGAACAGCGAAGGGAGGGGAGAAGGGACGCCGAGTGAGCATAATTTGAAAGCAGGTGCTTTTTGCTTTTTGCTTTTTACAAAGCGGGAAACAAAAAACGCCCACAAAAAGAGGTTTAATCCCGGTTTAACCACGGTTTAACCCCGGTCATGTAACGCTACGTCGCATCGTCAATTTGTGGCGCAATAAATGTAGAAGTAAGAACTTCGGCCGATGCTCGCGCACTGGTACACCGTTTCTAGCACGTGGCCTCTGCTTTGGTTTTGGTCTGACTACCGGTCCTCCCCAAGCACCTCACGGCCGCCGCCGCCAATCAGCTCGTAACCTATGAGTGATGATCGCTCTCGTTCGTTTCTCAAAGAGCAAAAACTCGGACAGCCAACGTGTGGCCGTACCTCCCCCTCTGTTTCTCCTCAGGGGGCGGGTATGGCTACACACAGGATATAACCCGGAAGACCACAGGTAGCCCAAGTTCTGTCACAGGCCTCCTTCACAGTGGATTATTAAAAAGTTTGTACAGTGGTTTAGTTGGACTTTAATTCTTTGATTATTTCACACANGCCTATTTCACTAGCTACTTATGAAAAGGTCGAGGTTTTCAATAGTTCTTGAGGCCCGTTCAGGCAATATAGCCGATGATAATTTGTTTTCCATCGGATTTCAGTCAACCAGACATGTTTCCAATCCGTGACCGAAATTATTTTATATGAGCACCCACGGGATTCGTATTTCAACACCACATATTCCGTTGGAGAAACTGCGCGCGATTCAAATAAAAATTCTATCCAACGTGATCTCTTGTTTAATTGCAGAGGAGTTCTTGTATAAGTGTCACATGAAATCCCGTAGACAAAACGTCGAAGAAACTAACCACTTTATTACAACAATACAAAACCGGTATGAGAAGAGGATTTTTGTGAAAGATAATAAAGGTCATAAAAGCTAGTCCTCACCGCTAGCCCTCTGACCGTTTGCCTTCCTTACAGAAATGACATCGCAAGCGGGTGTACATTCCGTGGAGCCAACTGAGTGGAGCCGATCATCTTTTCTTTGCCGTAAACGAAAATGGCAAAATTCGTAGAAGTTTGAGATATGCACTGGCTTCAAGTGACCTTTCGGTTACAATAGTTTTGCCGATATCGCACGGTCACGGACTGGTTGATGTCGACAGTTCGGTGTCAGGGGTGAAATGACTGACGGCTTGCCCAGGGCAAGTGTCCTTTTATAGTCAGGGTCCTTGTTTAATAATCCACTGTGAAAGAGCCTATGACAGAGCTTGGGGAACCTGTGGGAAGACTGGTACCGAAGTTGCGTGACGATACACGAGCGTTGGGTCGGCATCTAGCTTCTAGCCAAGCACCCAACCGAAACTAATTGCCACTCGGCGGCAAGCTCTCACAAACAAAATGAAGTGATTATGGGACTTTTGAGTATTTTAACGACACGCTGTTGATATGATCAGCTCAAAAGGGTAACTCTGTTGCATTTGAGAAAGCATGCCTTGCTATGAGAAACCCATTAACTAACATTTTTGCAAAGGATGAAAATCAAGAGTCAAATATCAAATTCCACAAAATGAGAACCAACATGATGCCGGTTCGGTATTTTCATTCGATATTCTTGATACACACACTTATGCAAATGATGATATGTTACTATAAGAAAGCAAACATCTCGTAAAGTAATCACACAACAGGTAACAACCACATACGAAGGCGAGTTAAAAAAAAAAACCAGGAGGAATAAATCAAGCTTACCCATCCTCCATTCTGTCTTATCCACGGACTTAACCGTCTGGCGGAGAAATGAGCCATCCACCTCGACAGACAACGAATGAATCTTGTATCTCCTGTCTGTGTTAAATCGTAGGCCAGAGCGCCGGCGAAAGCGTAAACAGCAATAATCCGAGCCCAGGTCACACCAGAAGCTACAATTTGTTCGGAGACGCGATTGAACATGTTACAAACGAGAATAGCAAGGTTAATCCGCCAATTTAGTTGATCCAAAACGTTGTTGTAGAGTTTTGGATAGCTTTTCTCAAGCAAAGCGCCCATTTCGTTCAATGTGTCGACGACATCCTCGGGACATGCGATCGTGGGCTCTCCGTCTTTTTTCCGACCCTTGGGGTTGTAGTAGCATAAATTTGAGCGCGTGAATCTGGCTTCGATGTATTTCTGACACAGAAAAGCGGCTTGTTCTGAAATAATAGTTTCCTCCGCCGACAGCGTTCGCTTTCTCTCCCTAATCTTGTTGGGTATTAGGTAATTCGCGACAGCAATCCACAAACGAGTCAAAAAATCCAAAATGACTTTCATCGCGACGGACGGATTCTAACGGTGCTTATTTACCACGCAACCCTATTGTGTGATCAAAACAGAGCGCGCGTTACTCAGTAAAGATCATCGGATTGAACATTTACGGCGGTCACTCAAAAATTAACATACAAATAACACCGACAGATTTGTTTAAATTTCACTTGTTTCATTTTGAAATTGTGAATTCACAGTAGAAAGTATGGTCAATGATGAGCTTATTCGGGGTTTGCCACGGGACTTGTTTCAGCAAAATAAGCAAAGATTAGCAGAGGTAAAAATGCGGTTGAGTTATAGTGATCAGTGCATGAATTATGACAACACGTCAGTGTCTCCAAAGCAACCTGTATGGCAGAGTGATATGAAATGGTTTTCTGATATTTTTTATCATGTCTAACAGGCGTAGACCGAATATCAGAAAGCTGGCAACCATCTAGGCAAGGAATCCGAGATCAGTTCGAAAAGAATCCAACCGAAAGTTGTCTACATCGGGGAGTCCGGCAATGGAAACGAGAAAAAATACGTACGCACAACAACCTTCGTTTCTGGTTCTCGCTCTCTCGTTCGTCTTACAAACCGAGAGCGTGAAACAGGTCAAATCATGAGATATTGCATTGCTTGTATCCCATCCAGAAGTTATTTCAAAGGTTAGAATATGACACGTCAGCTAGTTGACCTAATTTATAGTTTTGATCACTAGCTGCTGTTCGGGAAAATGAGCCCGCGCTCATTCTTCCTCCATCCTTCCTCGGGAGAATCGAAGACTGGGCCTGAGAAAACGGCGTCTACCCGTACCCGACCTTATCACTGAACTGGATGTGCTTAGAGAACTGCAAAAATCTTGCGGATGCCAGCTCAAGCAACATTTTGAAATTCTTCATCGATACATCTCAACAGATCTCCTAGATCTTCGCCAGGAGACATCTACCGGCATAAAAAACTTACCAAAAACATCGAAACCACCATCAAACGTTTGTTTAAACCTTTGCTTTATTTGCCTTTTGCAAGAAGCGTATGACTCGTAGATCAGTTACGCCCATTTTATTCCTTTTCTACCTCCATATTCCATATAAAAACTACACTGACCGCCTCTAATGACCGTTTTTACAGTCGCGACTATCATCTTTCCAATTCTCAGCCACTTGGATTAAATTTTTATTTTTATTATTATTTTTTTTTTGAGGAAAACGGTTCCCTCGACCTCGTTCACAGCTGGCCGGATAAATATAAAGACGGCGTCTTCGAACTGAAAACGCAGCACTTGCTGTCAGTTTAGAATACCCTGCTGGCAGAGGCGTTTATTTGTTAACTTCCCCTACGGTCCATGTAAAAATAAAGTCCTCTGCGCTCGGCCTGTTAAATCTTCTTCGAGCATGCGCCTGGGAATTATCCAAGTTTGTGGATAATCTGATTTGCAAAACCGGTCAGAACCTGTTTTAAACACGTTTTTATGCGCACGCATCCTATTTAGCTATATAGCAAGACCAAGTGTGAGCCCACAATCACGGTTATGGCGTCTTTCAATGTTCTTCGGGAAAGTATTGTCAGTGTTTCGAAGAGGTTTTTACCTTCAAGCTACGACTTAACCTCATAGCAATTTAGAGCCGTCGAAAGTTTCATATCTGGTCGAGATACATTCGTTTCTTTACCTACTGGCAACGGTAAATCGTTGATTTATTAGCTACTTGTTCCTTTGGTGAACTACCTTCGCACCGAACATGGCTGTTGAAAGTTGGCCGAGTACTACTGGGAACTAATTTGTTTCTAAGCAACAGGCCGCGCATGCT